GAGTGGAGGAGTGCGGCACTACGATAGGTGCTTGGGCATGCGAGCTGTAATTGACTTACACTGTCACGTCTGGCGCGTCAGCAGCAAATCACAGCATTCGTATGAAGAAAAAACCAGGGCACATTCTGCCGCTTGGGGATCAAGTAGTACGAATCAGGTACTTCGGATAGGTAGACTTGTGCGAGCCACAGGACACAAAGGCCGGCCGGAGCGGACAGAGAGAGAGAAAAGATGTATACTCACAGCGTGGCGCAGCCCCAGAGTGTAGGACAGCACGGCCGGGCTGATCATCAGCGGGTGGTACCTCAGGACGACGCCGACGGCGACCCAGACCAGACAGTTCACGCCGACGAGGAGGCCGATGATGCGGAGGACGGACGGGGGCAGACCGCCCCCGAGCTGGGCCGGGAGGCGCAGCCGCGTCCAGGAGCGCATCGTCGGTCGGTTGGACGGTCGGGCACGGGTGGCACGGCACGGGTTTACGGGGTCGGGGGGATCGGGATCGGCGTCGGGGTCGGGGATGACAATTGTCTGACGGGCCGTTGAGGTGGCGCGGTACCTGGGGGGTACAGATAGTAATTTCAAAGCCTCCGGAGTGGCTGCCAGAAGCTGCCGTCCGCCGTCAACTTGGTGCGCGAGACTGCCCTTAATGTTTCTGTCTGTGAGCCCTCCCCCCCTTCCATAGGGCCAACGCGGGGGGCTCCGGTCTGGCACCGGCCTCGGGTTTTTACCCCGTACGGGTCTAACCCTACCTGATAAGGCAAGATAGGTCCCGTCACTATGATACCCAGGTATTTTTACTCCGTATAGGTTAGTCATTTATTTGCTCAGTTGATAGATAGACAAGCACTTACTCATTGGGTACGGGTAGCGGCCGCCTGCATGCATGCCCACTTTTTAGTAGGTCTACCGTCTACGTATCTTCGCAAGCCACCAGATTTCCGACATGCGGTTGCAAGATGAGAAAGTATAAGTATGACGACAGCGCAAGGATGGCGGCCAAGGAAGACGTTGGCCACGGACAATCATCACATTCACAACAAGCGGAACTACCCGGACCATCGTGAAGTTTGTATAGCACACCATTCTCCCTCCAATTCTCCCTCCGATTGCCGGACTGCTCAGGTAAGTACTTACCTGGTATATATGGATACCTGCTCCGTATATTCGGGTACTTGAGCGCTATGCTGGTTCCGTGCTTGCCTTAATAATAAGCGCCATGCCAATCCAACAAAGTTGGCAGTGGGCACGGCGTGAAGCACCTATGACATCTCACCTTCTCTCATCCTCCCGTCTTTTTTAGAAGACCCAGGAGTCAGCGCGAGAAAACCATGTCCGATTCATTCAAACGTCTGCTGCCCGCGCCGGCCCGGCCTTCGACGTCGACAGCGTCACCGGCCGGTCAGACCGACTCCCCGCCCGGCCCCATCTCGGTGCCGCCGGTGAAGAAGCGCGCCGTGTCCAAGGCTGCCTGCAACAACTGCCGGCACAAGAAGATACGCGTGCGTTCACTCTTTTCTTATCTTACCTACCTATCTACTCCAATAGACATATCTGCACCGCATGTCTGTGTCCTACCGTGTCCTGCCTCCCCTGCCGTCCTTGTCTGACCGTGTCCGCGCCGGCCACGTGCTGACTGCATGCCACCTACCGGTACGTCTGCCGCCGCAGTGCGATGGACAACGACCCACGTGCGGCGCCTGCATCCGCTCCTCGACGGAATGCAACTACGTCACCGCCACCAGTGGCGAGACGCCCTTCATGGCCCTGAAGCGCGAGGTCGAGTCGCTGCACCGCGTCGCCGGCGAGTTCGTCGGCCTGTACGACCTGCTGCGGTCGGCGCCCGCCCACACCACCTCGGACATCGTGCGCCGCCTCAGAGCGAGCCAGGCGCCCTTCGAGCTGGGCGACGACTTCGCGGATCGCCTAGCCCGCATCCGCCTGGACGTCGGCGCCGAGCCGTCCCTGGTTGCGCGCCTCTCGAACCACCAGCTCGTGCAGACCCTGACCCCGCCTATCGTGAATCAGACCGAGTTTGAGCTCTGCATGCTGCTGCCCTGCGCCTACTCCACCGTCGTCCCGCACGAGGTCGCCTTTGGCAACCTGGCGGACGTGCTGAATAACCCGGCCCCGGTCCCGATCCCGGATTCTGTCGACCCTGCTTCGAGGTCCGCTCGAGTCCTCTTCTTCTCAGTCGCCGGGTCGCAAGCATTTTGGCTGCTAACTGGTGCTCAGCGCCGGGGACACCACCGAACCTCCCCGGCTTCCTACCTCGGTGGCTTCGACCTCGAGGTCCACCCCGGAAGTCGTCGGCAGCGCTGCTCCAGAAAGACCGAGACAGCCGTCTGCCGGCGGCGTCCGTTTCGGCAAGCAAGGCACCGCCTCGTCTGCCGGTGATATTCCGCTGCGAGGGGATGATCGGCTCGAGCGGCTTAACATCTCCAAGTGGACCGATGTGCCCATCACAGACGAGCTGGCTGCCACCCTCATTTCCATGTACCTCACCATTGATCGACCGTATGCGCTGTTCGACGCCGATCTGTTCCTTGAAGACCTCATCAGCGGCAGGACACATTTCTGCACACGCTTTCTCCTGAATTCCTTGCTCAGTTGGGCCTGTGTGAGTTCCCACAGCCCTCCCGTACTCACACACATGTAGGGAATCGTGGACATAAAACAACTGACACGGCGAGCTCACGCAGCAATCTTATTCGAACTTGCAGCCCGAGATCGGCATTTTAGCGGCCTCCTTTGAGAGGGAAGCTGAGACGCTGTGGGCGAAAGAGAGACTGACGAACACGCTGACGGCAGTGGCCGGAGCCCAGCTGCTGAGCAACTCCACAGCGTCCCGGGGAAGAAAGGACATCTCGGTCCAGTGCTCGGAAGAGAGCATCCGCATGGGCCAGCGCATGGGCTTGTTCGGCGTGCAGACCAAAGAGGACTCGGCCCTGACCTGGCTCGACCATCACGAGGACTGGCTGAGGATGGCATGTCACACGTCATGGGGTACATTTATCAGTGTCTGGTAAGTCCGTCTGGAGCATCCCAAAAAGAACCCAGCTCCGGTTTGGCCATCCCCCGAAAGCCCACTTACAGCCTTAAGCATTCGCTCATTGCAGTGCCACGCTGGGTTGATAGCAGCTGCTCCACTCCTGCCTCTGCCTGGCGAGACTCTCCCGCTGCACCAAGAACCCGCGACACCCGAGGGCGAGCCGTCAATGCTAGTCCCGAGCACGGCTGGTGAAGGCTTCAGAGCAATGTGTGATCTGAGCTTGATCGTCCACGATATCATCTGGGCCTACTTCTCCTTTGGAGACGGCATCCCCGCTGAGCGTGCCACAGCCCAATTCGCCGACCACACATTCTCGAGATTGTACAGTTGGGCCGCAAAGCTGCCAATCATCCTGGCCCGCGGGAGCAGCAATCCGAGCTTCTTTCTGGCGTTGCAGTAAGTACCTATCAGCACCCAGGCTCGCGAAACATCGGCCTGCTCGGACGAGCAATTGGCTCGTTCGCTAAGCCTTTACCCACAGCTGACCGGTCCCTCTCTGTGGTTTTTACTTCCACTGCGCCGTCATCACTCTCTTCCGGCCGTTCCTGCGCCAGCAGACCCAACCTCAGTTGGACGAGCACTCGACCAAGTACTTCACGACGATGACGCCCACACCCCGGAGCATCCACGCCGCATCGATGAACCAGCTCAAGCGGCTCGCGCTCACGGGGCGTTTCCAGTCGGACCCACTACAGCACGCGTCCATCTTATGCCACATCGGGGTCCTGTACCTGGCGAGCGGCATGCTGACCGACTACTCGGCCGCCAACAAGGGCAAGAGCGTGGTGCAGGACCCCGAGTGCCGCTTCTACTTCCTGCTGTGCCTGGCTGAGAACGTGGCGCTGTGCCGCTCCTTCCGCGTCGTCGAGATGGCCGTCCTGGGCCTGCTCAACATGGCGCTGCGCGCCGACTTCCTGTCCCCGGCCGAGACCAAGACGATCCTGCGCGACATGTGCGGGCACGGCCAGAAGACGGACCCGGACGACGTGCTCGAGGGCTGCTTCGTCGTCGACTTCGACACGGCCATGACGGCGCCCGCGCATGCGCACGTCCAGAGCCTCGCGGACGGCTTCTGCCACCGCGCCGCGTCGAACGACTTTACACATGATGAGCTGAGGTAAGTAAGCTGAACAGGTGCTCCATGCCCAATGTCAGAAGACCATTTTCCTTCTCTCGGGGGGAAGAGGACTAAGAAGGCTGTGGCGTCTAGGGAGCTCCTCCAGCCCCGCTGGTTGAAAATGGTGTCAGAGGGCTCGCCTCTCTCGGAAGACTCGTCGTCGGAATAAGAGAGCTTTGACTCTGGGGAAGACTTCCGCCTTGTCGTCGGTTGACGACTAAGTTGCCCGTCTCGCAAGGGTGAAGGACCACGGACGCTCATAGACACCAAGGTGTGGGGGGAAGCTTGAGGTTTGACCAAAATTGTCGCAAATGTGTTTTACTTGCTCTGTCATGGAAGGGATAGAATGTTTCGGAGGAACACAGCATCGATTCTGTACTCATTTCCCCCTTGAAAAGCGGGTCTGGGAGGAAGCGCCCTCGGCATTGATACCACTTCTGCCTCTTTGCTTCGAACCGCTGCAGAGACTCCGGCCCACTATCGGTCGTATACACTCTCTCTCACTTTGTATTCTAGCTTAGACGAGTCCAAGATAAGGCTTTTGCACGGTGTGACACCTCGCTGTCGATGACATGCTGCGGACTAATTACTGTGCGATACATTGGTCACGTAGTTACGCGCGCGGATACGCACACACTAATCGGGGCCGAACTGCAAAGCAATGCTGAGAAGGTGTGGCAAGGCAAGGAGAGATAGGAGACAGATACGGCAGAGGGCAAAAGGAAGCTGGAACCAGGGCAGCAGTGAGAGAGGAGGAGAAGAAGAAGAAGACAAAACAAAGAAAAAGAACAGCTCCGAAAGAAGAAGATATCAATATGTAAAAAATGAAAGGGGCTTGACCGGGGATCGAACCCGGGACCACTCGCTGGTTTGTCTCATGGAAGAAGAAGCCCAAAGCGAGTATCGTACCACTAGACCACCAAGCCCATTCTGTCTTTATGTGTGTGTGATAATAAATTCACTGTTCCATCGAGTGATATACTTGTGATGTCGGTACCGATGTATGTGGCAGTGGTGGTGGTGGTGGTGGTGGTGGTGGTAGGAATAAGGGGGTGACTCACTCGGCGTAGATGACTGCCCCAGATGGGTATGGGTGGGTGGGGGCCGATAAATAGATAGATACCGGTATTTACATGCGGTGTAGGAGAGAGATATATGGCAGGTAGGATGAGTCAGAGGTAGCAACTTAACCACCCAAGGCAGACTGGCAGACTGGCTGACAGACAGAGAGACAGACAGACAGACAGACATACAAGCAGACAAAGAAAAGCCAGAACAAGAGCTTCCAGAACAACAGTTCTCGGAGCAGGCTGGAGCATATGCCAGTTTATACAACTACTACATACCTAGCGAAGTAATCATCATAGGCAATTAATTAAACAACGGATCACATCCCCTGACGTGTCAAGCCGTGAATGAGTAGCTACATTGGCTATATAGAACCTCTAGAACTTGACAAGTATTTCGCCAATTGTGATATCAAGCCTATGGAACAGCTCGACTTGACTCTGTACTGTTTACTTTATATTAGAACCATAGTGGTGTTAGTGAGACACAAGTTGCCTGGCCCGCCCCCAGGCAGTAGAGCCCGCGAGGGAGGTTAGGTGCCCATAAGGTATATTCATTCAATCATTCATTCATTTGATTGACACGGCCAGGTCTTCCTGTTTGTAACAACCTACTTCCCTACTTACTCACTTACTTACCTTAGGTACTCAGGGAGTATCATCCATGGTACCTGGTATCAAGCTTACCTCTCTCCAATCCCACACTCACCAGCCCCGACCAACTAACCAACTCCCTTCTAACCAAGGCAACTCAAGTAAATACCTTCCACGCCTCTGCTACCGCGGACTCGCCCTGATTATGACCGCCTGCTCCTTTTATTGAAGCCAGCGCCCGCTTCGGCTGCCGTTCAGCCGACCAGTCAGTCCCTCGGTGTATGAGTTCGTTCAGTCAGTCAGTCTAGCCACCAACACTGTGACCATAAAACGGACCACCCACCAGTATATTGTAGTTAGGTGTTCTAGATGGAAACGATCACCACACATAACTATACAGTGATAACACTAGTAAAGCCTTAAGACCCCGAACAAAACCTGGTAACCTGGAGCAACCATCCGCTCACACTCCTTAGGCGCTTCTTAAACGGTTAAGTCGAACAAATGCTTGTGATAACACTGCCGATAGCCTGCCTAAGGTGCCAGTGGGAATCTGCATAATGTGATATTGAGGCTGACAATCTGCCCAATGTGATAAAATAGTCTGCCCAAGGTGGTATCGAGGCTGACAGAGTCCTATCTTTCAAGGTCGTACGAAGTACGTCCGGCCTTCAGGCCAGGTCCGGATCAAACTTGGGGGCTGGATCGGGCTGAATGGGCTACAGTCCACTCACCGCCTTCGGCCACCCTCCCGCCATGCCGGCTCCATGCTCTCCGTCGGATAAGGTGTGTCGTGTCACCTCCAGGTGTGCGACTAGCAAGTTATCCCAGCATGCGGGGGTAGCGAGGCTGGGAGTCTCGATAACTTACTAGGGATAGGTAAGTACTTTAGCCAAGCAAATCTGCAGAGGCCTCTGTTTGATCCTAAAGTCTCCTCAAAGCCTGTCGACCGAAGGCCCCAACACCCTAGGTAAAGGTTTCTCTCGGGGTCTCTCCCTTCTCCGGCCACAGGCGGGAATAGGCACTTGGCAAATTTCAGTCTCCGTATCCTCAAACCGTCCATCCATCATGAAACTCATAATCGGTGGTTCGACCGGCTTTGTTGGCACTGAGCTGGTTCGTCAGGCGTTGTCGAACCCAGCTGTGACCAGCATTGTCGGGCTTAGCCGGCGCGAGACCTCTGTCCCTGCCGGATCAACTGATCCTACCAATAAGCTGAAATCTGTCGTTTGCGAGGACTTTGAAAGATACCCGGATACCCTGAAAAAGGAGCTGGAGAATGCCGATGCCTGTATCTGGTAAAGCGATCAAGCCTTGGTTATGGGCTTGCTCCCAGATGATTAATTCGCGCACAGGACGATTGCTATAACGCCGAGTAAGCTGAAGTCCTCGCCATGGGAAGAAACCGTCAAAGTTTGCCGCAACTATACCCTCACGGCCCTCGAGGCCCTTATGACAATTCCCCGCCAGCAGACCGACCCCCTGCGATTCTTATACATCAGCGGTCACTTCGCCCCTCGCGATCGCTCCGAGATACCCCCAGCTATCGTCAATAAAGATATTGCGGAACTGGCTCTGCTACGAGTATGATGGGCCCTACATCACTTACACGGTTTATATACGTACTGATATACTCCAGTCGCTGACACTTCAATACAGGGGAAGCTCGGCGACGAAATCCTTGCACTCTCAGCGAAGTCCAACGGCTCTGTGGTCTCGTGCATCGCCAAGCCCGGCATGATCCTCGCCCCGGGCATGCAACGCCCTGATGTTCCCGGCCTCCCGAAGATCGCGCTACACGACATTGCACTTGCTTTGCTCAATCAAGCCCTCGACGGCTTCGACAAGGGCACGCTGTCCAATGATGACATGATCAGGATCGCGCAGAACGCCAGTGTGAAGCAGTGAGTTGCGTAGGGGACAACCGGTGATCGAGCAAAGTGACTGTTTCTGCAAGCGTTGGGATATGCTAGGTAGTTGGGCTGGCTCTGGAGGATAAGTTACTTGGCCGCAAAATCAGCTTCCAGTGTTGGCCATGCACTTCGTAATTCTTTTCAAACTCATTTTCATTCTCCTGCGTATTATCGCTATGCTACCTCAGCCAGCTCTTCAATAGATCTCCTGATTATACAAGCAGAGTGGCAAGGGGCATACGAAGTACGCAGCATTTTCTTGGCTTTAACTTACTTGGAGTTGCTTGGGGTTGGCGATCATGTTTTCTGAACCCGCACGCACGGCAGACCAATCATTTACCGCCCCCACGACTGCCTGAGATCTCGTCGCGTCCAACAGACATCTCACCGAAAAACAACTCTCGCGACAAAAAACGTTGCATATTAGACCCATTTGGCGAACCAGCGCAAGCAGTACAAGAGTCCCTCTCTTCTTCATCATGGACGGACCCTCGCAGTCCACGAAAAGGCGGCTCGACACGAGTCTCGAGACCCCTTCATTACCTGCCGCAAAACGAGCACGATTATCCAAGACGGACCTGCAGCAACCAGCACCAAAGCACCCTAGGGCCTCGTTTCTCGAAGACCACGTCGAACTGACCGACACAATTTCCGAGTGGCTCGAATCCATCGGATCAGACCGAGAAAAGCGCTGCCGGTCAGACAGCTACCTTCACGCCTCGAGCGACGATCCCATCTCGAGAAACCTCACGAAATCGGCGCCACAGGTGGCCTACAACCGAGGTGCAGATGGAGACGCCGTGCCACCGACGCCTGGCCCATCCTACGGATCAGCCGCCACGTCAGACGCTGGCTCGGGTCGATCATCAAGAGCTCTTGTTGAAGACCCGCTCTACCGAAGCCTGAACCTTGCTGTAAACGGCATCTACATGCTTCCCCTCTACGAGCCATTCCCTGAACACATCGCCAATGCTGTGAATTACGCACGCAGGAAGCGCGATTCTCCTGGGCCGGCGCCTGACGACGTGTACCGAGACATGGCTCTGGACGAACTTGAGACGAGAGGACTTGACGAACCAGAAGTCGAAGACTACTTCAGGGACAGAGTGTTCCCCAAACCTAACCCGGGAGACGACCTGAGGCGCAGCGACAGACAGCCGATGTCTAGGCATGTCGTCCCCGACGCCGCACCACGATTCAAAGTCAGCAACCCAATCCCCGACATGCTGTACGGATACAGTCGCCATCATGCCTTTCCCGACCAGCAGACGCAACTCATCTCCATGGGCACCGAACCAGTCGCGAACAATCAGGATCTGATGTACCCGTTCTTCGTCATTGAATTTGAGGGCAATGGCGGAGATCTCTGGGTAGCAACGAATCAATGCCTTGGAGGATCCGCATCTTGCGCCAACATGGCAGAACGCCTCAACCGTCAGTTGAAGGCGTGCAAAAGCAGCAAGGCCAGACTCATTGACAGCACCGCCTTCAGCATCGCCATGAACGGTACCGGAGCACGACTCTATGTCTCATGGAAGCACAGCGACTTGGACTACTACATGCAGATAGTCAAAAGCTTTCGACTCCAGAGCCCCCCGGACTACATCGAATTCCGCAAGCACGTCAGGAACATCATCGACTGGGGGAGGGACACTCGTTTAAAGGAGATTCGAGGATCATTGGACACTCTTTTAGAAGAAAGCCGGAAGCGAACCTCCGAAGCAGCGAAATCCCGCCCACCACCGACTGAGGACTCAACCAGCAAGAGCAAAAAGCACAAACCTCCTGCATCGCGCAAAAGCAGCAGCGGCGGGCACAATGATCAAGCGCAAGCGCTACCCACATAGGCGCTGCACCTGGCCTGGGGGGTGGACAAGCTACTGAGGGCTCATCGAAGACCAAAACCCGCAACAGCCTGTCAACACGAAGATCCATGGATACATCGTGGATTAAACGTGGCCTTGATCAGGCCGTCCACTACTCGCGTAGATCCCATCTTGCTACAAGAGCGATGCAGTTAGCCGAGGATGACTCATCCGCAGACCCAAACCAGGAGGCCAAGGGCTGCGGGGCGGAGGTGCGTCAAGGTGAACAACACCACCGAGCAAAGCCGGGAGACCAGTTCAACTGATACCAACACCCAAACTGACGTGGCATCCAATGGCATCCATTTGGTCTCTGGTGCTAACGTACACCAAGAAGAGGCTACCATCAGCGACCCGACAGAACCCAGTCCCGAGAACACTGCAACCAACGCTGAGAAGAACGACTTGAATGCTACGGCCTCTCAAGGCAAACAACCGGAAGCACTATTGGGTTTCTAATTATATTTCTATTATGCTATTATTACTT